CTTTCTGTGAGTTTACTTCATTTGCAGCTTACCCGTTAGTTCAGCTAAACTAATGTGTTCGCAATTATCCTCTATTTATATACTGTCACAAATGATTACTGACGCTGCAAAAACACAGAGCAAAAAAGACAATTAGACAGAGAACGATGATCTGCCCCTTTCCAGATGTCTCTCACAGGTCCTATAGTCTTTATTTGGGGTCGAAGCACATGCTAATTGTCACTTATTTTTGCGACTCCGTTTAAAGAAATTGCATGCATTTTTAAGACGACGTAAGATTTTCATTGACATTAGGTACACAACAATACTTGCTAAGACTGCATGTCCATCCCTCACAGTTATACAATTTAATATGGTGTCTACACTGACTAAAGAAAAAAAGGATAGATAGATAGATAGATAGATAGATAGATAAATAAATAAAAATAATGAAGGAAATAAGCAACGTAATAAACAAACAAACAAATAAGAAAAGTAGTAAATAAAAAGAAAAGCAAATGAGAAAATGAATAAATAAGAACATGAAAATGTTAAGAAAATATATAAGAAAATAAATAAATGAAATAAATGAGAAAATTAGAAAAAATAAATAAGAAAATAATAAATAAATAAAAAAGAAAATAAATAAATAAGAAAATAAATAATAGAAAATAAGTAAATGGAAAAAAAAAAGAATAAATAAGAACATGAGAAGCATTAGCTAAAGCGTAGATTTGGATTAATAACTCAAACTCATGTGGAATCACAGGTCTGCTTTTCATGGCTATTCTTCCAATGACTTTTTTAACGTGGCTCATCCAATCAGATTTTATATTATGGTATACAAACAAAAGATGCTCCATGCAAGATGTGTTGACAAGACTTTAGTCTGCGCTGATTGAAAGAAATAAACATTTGAAGCCGAACATATGCTGTCTAATGAGAGACACATGCGTAATATGAAATATGTACAATTAAAACATAACCTCTCATATTGAGGTTTTGCTGAAAATGTTATTTTTTATTAAATCTTCATGCAATTTCCTAAAACCCTAAAAAAAAGTTTTCAAAGCCGCTTGGGAGGATTTGGCCAGTTAAAAGACATTCAATTCTACGATGAAAAGGAAAAAACGAACACAAAAGGGTTTGATGACGTGAAGGAGCCATAGGCCCTCCATGTGGGCATAAGAGCTCGCGGTGAACACTTGGAAAGCACCCAACCAATTAAAAAGAAAACATGTGAGAGGTCAAAGGTCGCGTTTTTTGACTTTCATTCCCAGAATGCCCGGCACTAAAGTGGATGCGCGGCACTGTAGGTATTCTGAAAGGCCACAATACAGTCTCTCCTGTCCCAACACCTGCTCCTCACATCACCGCGGCCGTGGACTTGTGGTTTTTAACATTTCAGTGACATTTATGGCTCACAAGACGAGGCACAAGCAGCAATAATCCAGTTCTACAATGAAATCATTTCTGACATCGATCAAACAAGATCAAACACAGTCATTTAAACATGTCACTTTTTGTCCTACAGTTTACTCACTTAATCAGTTTTATCAAACACAAGAATGTAATTCAAATATAAAATTTGCTATAGGCTATCATTCAAGAAAAGAAAAAATACTTTTTATAAACACACACACACACACACACACACACACACACACACACACACACACATTAATTATTGTGACGAATATTTGGGGATATTAAATGTTTATCACTCTAATAACTTGTATTTTTTTGCATTACTTATTTTTTTCTCATTGCCATAATACAAATTACAATCATTCTGTCTGGAAAAGTTAATTAATCAGCACAAATTAAATTCAGTACAACAAATAAAATTCTGAATTGGGGGAAATGTGTTAAAAAGGTCATGAAAAAACATGCCAATGCAATAAATAAATAAAAAATTAAATAAAAAATTAATCTTGAAGTGGTCTTAAAATAGGCTTCATTTATTTGTTCAAAATATGTTTTATTTTTTTTACTTTGATTTTTAATGTGAGATTTCCCCACCAAAAACAGTAGGATGTTTGTCTTTTTTATTACTTATATACTTAAGTTATATTACTTATCTTTTATTTATTTACTTACACATTCTACTTATTTACTTATAGTGTGATTTTATTTTTGTAATAAATAATGTAATGAAATGCAAATCCCTCTCATCACATTTTATAATAAAAGCATAAATTTGCATGTGTGAGTAAAAGATGGGGTATGCAACTGATCATAGCCTTAAACAAAAGTTTTTTTCAATTTCCGAACTGTTACCATCACTACTGATGGCAAGTCATGATTTTCTGCAATTACAAACTACATTTTTTTTTCATCACTAATGGTTCTTTTACTAAGGTAATTTCATTCATTATCTCACTCATATGCATGGAAAGTGGTGACGGTCAGAGGTTGCGAGACGGTCAGACCTTAAGTCAGCTGCCTTTATAGCATGAGATTTATCAGTGAAAGTTCATTTCGAGTCAGGCCACGAACACCTACAGATTACTCGCTTCAGCCAAGACTTCATACGAGTAAAAGAGAAGGCAAAGATGGCAAAAGCAGACACAGCTGGAGGTGGTTACCTCTTTTCCTTTGCATCAGCGGGAAGTCTGCTTTCGGGAGGGCCAGAGGTCACGCAGCTCTGAGGGACGGCGTAAAAGTGTCAGGAAAGGAATTATGGGCAATTTCAAGTGACGAACCTGACGGCTTTTACATCTGAATTCAGAACAATCATCAAAACTATCACGATAACATTGAGTAACATATTGAAAATTAATAATGTGATACTATCTAACCCACCACAGCAGACTCTAGAAAAACATGGAAAAACCGGCTATGATTCACAGCGATGGGGGATAACATGCATCCAGTGGTTTCAGACATGTCAGAAAGTTCCTTAGTTTTACATAACTCCTTCTTCCTGCCAAAACTGCTGTTTGGGTGTTTTTCCAGTGCTTTGTTAATCTAGTTTCCATTAAACAGATTAATGAACTCTAATTACAGATAAAACCCACAAAAATGCAGTAATCAAGAGGAGTCCTTGTAGAATTAAGAATAGAAAAAAAGCACAATCTAGTGCAGGATTTATTATTATTATTATTTTTGTTTTTTAAAGATAAGATGAGTTTTCACACTAAAGAGCGTGTTCACGTGTATATAATACAAATGAAATAGGTTCCTGGGTTATTATAGTTAACTAAAACCATAAAAACATTTCCGTTACTTGAAATAAAATAATTAAATTAAATATATATATTTTTTTTCAGCTAGTTGCCAAAGCAACATTTCTCATTTTCATTTAATTTAACTTGATGTACTAAAATAAGTCAAATTAAAACAGAAATTTGAGTTAATTCAAAACTATATAGACGTATTAATAAAATGAAAAAAAAAAAAATATTAAAACTTAAATTTAAAATTAAAATGGAAAATACAAAAATGAAGTTTATACACACACACACACACATAAACACATGTAAACATACTAGTATTTTTAAAATACCACTGATAGGTTCACACTTACCATTTTTCCAAATTCAGAATTTTCTTTTAAACACACACAGTGAGTATAGAAAAAAAATCACTCCACCTTAAAATAATCACATTTTGTTGCTTTGCAGCCTGAAATGAAGATGGACACAGTTTTTGTTTTATCCAGCTGTATTTACTCACATCCAAGTGAAAGATATAACACCAACATGTCAGAAAAAAATAAAAAACAGAATCACTGAGTTGGAAAAAGGATCACCCTCCTCCTAAAAATGACTTGTAAACTCAATCAGGTGCAGCTCATCACCTTCTCAATGGCACACAAAGCCATCTCACTTTCAACTATAAGCTGTGGTCATTTTTTCCATGTCAGTTTTAGTTTTAGTAATTTTAGTACTTCAACAAGACTTTTTTTTTTTTTTTTGAATTCATCATTTTTTTTTTAAATTCATCATTTTTTTTAATCTAATATTTATATTTGAGTTCATTTCAGTTTTAGAACTGGCCCGATCAGCTGAAAAGTGTGCAATACTGCTTAAAAACAGCCAACAGACCAGCTAAAACCAGCAAACCATCTTAGGCTGGTTTGAGATGTTTTTGAATGAAACACTAATGGGCAAATGGTTCCCCCATAGACTTCTATTTCAGTCAACACATTTTACTGTTTTTATAAACTGAGTTACACATCATAATCCGGAACATTCTATTCACTTTAAAGCCTGAATGTATTAAACACACAGACGCTGAACTAGACTAATGAAAGCTTCCACTGACAGACAGATTCAATCTGGAGTGAGTCGGTTTACAAATTCTCTGCTAGGCATTATAATTCTCTGCTATTCAAAAGAGAAATGACGAAGTGCGTTTATGTTTAGCTATAAACACAGCGCTGACGTAATCAGCCTCAATTCTTTAGTTTGGACTCCAGATGTAGCTGATTGACCTCAGCAAACTCGTCCAATCAAATCCATACAACTATTGCTCACTCTATAAGACAGTAGCATTTGATGAATATATACATGCAAATGTCACATATTGTCTGTACGATACTGCAAGACATTTCTCTTTCACACTTTCAAACATCCAAAAGACTGAACGTCTGAAAATTTGATTACAAACATACACAGAGAAGTAGACCTTACAGCATCTTAAAGGCCCGTTCCAAAAAAAAAAAAGAGTGATAAACAGCCGTCAGAACTTGCGCAATATATTAATACCTAAATCACACGCAGACCTTGTCTAAGACTGCACGCATTTTTGTGGACGAGGAGCACAAAACCTCAGACTTGTTTCCGTCTGAAACTTTACAGACCGAAACGAAGCCCTTGCATTTATTTGTGTAACTTAAATGTTTGAGTTACAGGATGTGCTAAACATGAACGGTCAGGGGGATCAGCTTCACATGTGCATGTTCTTCTCATGTAAACCGTCATCATGTGTGTTCCCTCGGTGTTTAGAGCAGCGCTGTATTTACAAATGCATTTTATGCAGTAAAACAATAATTAACCCTGTAAAGCCTGACATATCAAACAGAGGTCGGCAGACCCCGGGTCGCGAGCTTTACAGAGCCCTCCTGCCCCGACTTTGCCGCTTACCCCCAGGGCCGTGGGCAGTGTCCTCGCGCCTTCTCTCCTCCCGACGGGGGAGGGATGGTGCCCCCCGCTCCTGGTGCATGCGTCGACCGGGGCGTACTGTCCTCAGTCCGTCTCCGACCGCGCCGCGCCGCCAGGGCGGGGATCCGGCCCTCGTAAAGGGTGCTCGAGGTCCGCGGCGAGGTCGGCCACCCACCCGACCCGTCTTGAAACACGGACCAAGGAGTCTAACGCACACGCGAGTCAAAGGGTGTCCCCGAGCCCCCACGGCGCAATGAAGTTGAAGGCCGGCGCCCGCCGGCCCAGGTGGGATCCCCCCGCCCCGGCGGGGGGCGCACCACCGGCCCGTCTCGCCCGCACCGCCGGGGAGTGAGGGAACACACAGGATGACGTGTTACATGAGAAGAACATGCACATGTGAAGCCGATCCCCCTGACCATTCATGTTTAGCACATCCTGTAACTCAAACATTTAAGTTACACAAATAAATGCAAGGACTTCGTTTCGGTCTGTAAAGTTTCAGACAGAAACAAGTCTGAGGTTTTGTGTTTAACTCTAGGGGAGTTGGAAAATTCTTTTCAAAAATAGTGGAGTGTTCCTTTAACTGGAGGACACACAATTCAAAGAAATAGTAGGACAATAGAGTGCACTTTAACGTGACTGGAAATGTGACCAATCATCATGCAGGTATGGAAATAAATAAATAAATAAATACATTTTAATTTAAAAAAGTCTTTAAAAAAAAAAAGGTTTGCATATGTATGTTTTGTTGAGTAGCAAAAATATGTAATTTGGTGCAAATGCTGATATTCATATGGCAAAAAAATTAGGTGAAATTCTGATGCTTGTAAAGTAAATCAATGAGATCTTTATAACAGTATAGCGGATACTTCTATAAAATGCATATATATATATATATATATATATATATATATTGCTGTACTGTATGGATAGCAGATTTGATCAAAATTAATTTACACATCATATATATATATATATATGGAGTGAATCAGTTTTCACTCCATATCTCCCAATAATGTGTCTTATAAGATGATATTTAAATGCTTAGTTTATGATCAAAGCTGTGTAGTTTCAAAACATTGCAATGCAATATAATGATATATTATATTGAAATATTACTAATAATATCAGAGCTATTCTTATGTTTACTTTATAAAAAATCTGTAAAGATTTCACAGCAAAAAGACACATGAAGCACGAGCTGAAGGTGGATGCTTTTATTATTATACTAAAAAGCCTTTTACTTGTTAAAAAGTATAAACTATCAATCAGACGACAGAAGGCATGTAGTAGATTGTGAAAAGCAGGATTTTCAGCAAAGTTTCGATCATGTTTATCATTTAGAAGCATTAGAAATTTGTGTAACAAATATGATACAGCAGGCTTTATAGGGTTAAGCTGAATAACTAGAATTGGTAACACTTTTATTTTAAGGTGTCCTTGTTACACGTTACATGTACTTACTATTATAATAACAATTAATTATGCATAATTACATGCAAGTAAACCTAAGCCAAACCCTAATCCTAACACTAACCATATAGTAAGTACATGTAATAAGGTCATAAGGGTCAATTTCTCGAAATTGAGATTTATACATCGTATGAAAGCTGAATAAATAAGCTTTCCATTGACATATGGTTTGCTAGGATCGGACGATATTTGGCCGAGATACAACTATTTGAAAATCTGGAATCTGAGGGTACAAAAAAATCAAAATACTGAGAAAATCACCTTTAAAGTTGTCTAAATTAAGTTCTTAGCAGTGCATATTACTAATCAAAAATTAAGTTTTGATATACGGTAGGAAATTTACAAAATATCTTCATGGAACATGTTCTTTACTTAATATCCTAATGATTTTTGGCATAAAAGAAAAATCGATAATTCTGACCCATACAATGTTTTTTTGGCTATTGCTAAAAATATACCCAAGCGACTTAAGACTGGTTTTGTGCTCCAGGGTCACATATTATTACACTGTAACAAGGACACCTTAAAATAAAGTGTAACCCTAGAATTTTTTAGACACCACTAACCAGTCTAAAAACATTGCATGTACAGCAGTGCATCATTTAGTTGCTTCATTACCCGTCTGAAGTGAGCTTTAGTGAAAGGGGAGCTGGTAAATGAAATGAAAAGGGACCTGAATGAAAGCAGGTCACAGGTGGTCTCATCCATCAAGCACCGTAAGCCAGCGCCATGTTTTCCAACAGTTTTACATCATGCTCTGAGGAAAAATTGGACCTCCTTCTTCGCTGTCACTTACGCCGGCAAAGATAATCAACTGATACCGAAATGTTATTCTCTTCCCCAAACAGCTTATAAACATCCCTAATGAAAAACTGCCAGACTGTTAGAATATTCTGCCAAGGCGTTTAATTCGCAAAGTCTGCGCTTCCACTGCGGCACAACTGACAGTCTAAACATGCGCTTGGGTGTGTATTTCACCGGCCGCTGCTCCTCAATCAAAACAATGGCTGTTAGGAATTAGCGCCGGGATCAAGATAGTAGCATGAATAATGAAAGAAGTAGATTTACTCATCCATTATATTAACATGGAAGGAAATACAACATTTTCAGCAAAGACATGCTCCTCTCATTTGAAACAATGAAGTTATCCTGCTTAAAGCGTGCATGTGTCCATGCGGATAAAATGTTTACACTGTCTGCATTACAATTTCCATGTTAAATGGATAATAGTGGGATTATAAAGTATGAAGAAGTTATAAATAGTAGGATAATACAGTGTATCCAGGACTGCAACCAAAACTAAAATAAATAAATAAATAAAACTACAAATGGCTATAATGCAACAGTGTAATGACATGAAGTGTTTGCAAGGCTCAAAATAATGTGACCTGTGTCTTACCTCTGGCTGTATGGCCTTAAACACAGGGACGTCCATCAGGGTAATTTGGCTCTGAGAAACAAAGACAAAAATAAAATCACGTTTTCATCACTCAAAATGAGAGCGAGTAATCACAGCCATGAGCTCATTTTCCAGCACTGAGTTACGGCGTACATTATGGGCAAGGACAAAATGAATGAAAACAATTCATCATAAAAATCACCACAATGAAGGAACTCGGTTCAACGGGGTCCTTCAAAGTTCCTTAGAAGTCTAAATAAGATCTTGATGCAAGTGAATTGAGGATAATAGTCTCAAATCCCACAATCAGGTCCACCACAGCATTCGGTAAATTATTCTGAGAAGTTATTAAGCATTATATATCATCGGCTCTGTTCCAAACTCTGTGAGCTGCCTACAGCATTTTAAGGTGTCATAAGGGCACTCCAGATCCAAAGACTGTTCTGAAAAGTAGGAAGCATCACATGTATCCTGTTGATTATATATATATATATATATATACATACACATACACACTTATCTGTAAGTAATCGGCAAGTTTCAAAGTGCTATATAAGGACAAGAATGTATATAAAATATAAATAAAAATATACTATATATATAATATATATATACAATATTAAAATATACTAAAATATATTAAAACCAAATAAAAAGAAAAGGAATGCATAATTATTTTCAATGCATTTGAAAATAATAATAATAATAAATCATCATTGCATTATATATATATATACTGTATATACTATATATATATATGGGGAAGTCGTGGCCTAATGGTTAGAGAGTCAGACTCGTAACCGAACCCCCAACTGCTCCCCGGGCGCCGCAATATAAATGTCCCACTGCTCCGGGTGTGTGTTCACTGCTGTGTGTGTGCACTTTGGATGGGTTAAATGCAGAGCACTAATTCCAAGTATGGGTCACCATACTTGGCCACATGTCATGTCACTTCTGCTGAAAAAAAAACCCTGAAAAAAAAATCAAAATTCTACAAAACATTTATTAAAAACAAAGAAAAGAATACATAATTAGTTCAATTCGTAAATAATAATAATAATAAATATTGAAAACATAATGACCCCTGAAAAAAAATCAAAATTCTACAAAACATTTATTAAAAACAAAGAAAAGAATACATAATTAGTTCAATTCGTAAATAATAATAATAATAAATATTGAAAACATAATTATGCAAGAAGAAGAAGAAAAAAAGCCTAACCCATCTAAACTGGATCATTGGCCTTAGCTGATTTAAACTTGTCTTCACTTGTTTTAACCAGCTGAAAAATGCCCAAAACTCTTATAAAACCAGCCGACAGACCAGCTTGACCAGGCCGGGAGATCAGCTAAGACTGGTTAAAACATGTTCCCTTAGCAACATCAAACTCCATAGAACACCACAGTGAGTAATGATTATATAGTGTTTTCCTTTGATTGTGTCCACAGGGATGTGGTGCGAGGAGCCGCTCACTATCCAGAGATTATGAGGCGCCATGTCAGTCAGGATGCTGCTTACACAAGCATTAGACAGCAAGGCTGCTCACTCGGTTTGGACCGGAGCTGTTGTTTCCAAACGGAAAAGTCCCGAATGACCAGGACTGCTTCTAATAAGACTGCATCATTACAGGACAAGACAAACGATGTAGAACCAAAGGCCGTCTCAGTTTTCCACCAGAGAATGCATCAATTTCAACACTGACAGTTTTACTCACTGCGAACTCCTCTGGCGTCACTTTCAGCGCATCAAACACGACAGCATCGTAGCTCTTCGCATAGTCAGCGCTCGGGCCGTCCACAGACACAGAGCTGTCACTTCCCTGAATATGAGAAAGGAACGATAGGAGGATACCAACATGTCAAGCATGAATTATTATTACAGATGCTCATAAATGCAAGAACAATTAGAGAGAAGAGAGTTTATGACTTTATTGTGTTGTTTGGGGTTTAATTTGTGATGACTGTATATTATCCCTGAGTTATTCTTGTGTGGCCCTCATGTATTGACCATCAGCCACAGCTGAACCAATCATTAAAAAAATCAGCACAGTTCTTTCCATGGAAAAGCGAAGTTGTCGGGTCAGTGTGAGGTTTTCATGGCAGACGTGGTATATGTTTCTCACGGGACGACTGCCAGCGCTGGAAAAACCATGAAAACGTTCCTGGAAATGATCTTTGATCTGATGATAACAGTATCTGCATGAGGACACGTCTGAGAGCGAACAGGCAAATGTCTTATGATCTTTTGCATTGGATGTGTAAATGTCCAAAAACTAAACAAGAAAGAGCAGAGTCTTACAAAAAAAAGTACCATGGTATAACCATAAAAATGCACAATGGAAAACCGAGGTTTGGACACTATCATGGATCATTTTATTGGACTTTAAAGTTACAGAATCTTTTAAGTCAATCAACGAATGACTAAAAACATGTTGTTTTTAAAAAAAAAAGAGATTATATTATATAAAAAGAGCCTTATATACAAAAAAAAAGTACCTTGGTATTTCCATAAAAATGCACAATGGAAAACCCTATAATAATTACAATATCACGGATTTTATCAGACTTTGAAGTTAAAGAACCTTTCAAGCACATTTTAAGTCAATAATTCAGCATTATGGTACAATACTGTTCAAAAATTTGGGGTAAATAAGATTTTTTTAAATTAATTTAATCTTTTATTCAGCAAAAATGCATTAAATTGATCAAAAGTGACAGTAAAGACATTTATGTTTCATTTATTGTTTTAATTGAACTTTCTATTCATCAAAGAAGTCATAATTTCCACAAAAATACGATATAACTGATAATAATCAGAATTGTTTCTTGAGCATCAAATCAGCATATTAGAATGATTTCTGAAGGATCATGTGACACTGAAGACTGGAGTAATGATGCTGAAAATTCAGCTTTTCATCACAGGAATAAATTTCATTTTAAAATATATTCAAATAGAAAACAGTTATTTGAAATTGTAATAATATTTCACAATATTACTATTTTTACAATCAAATAAATGCAGCCTTTACTTCTTTCAAAAACATTACACAATCTTACCAAACCCAAACTTTTGAACAGTAGTGCATGTATGTAAACAACAGCATCATCCTCTGATACCATGGTACCACCACAGTACTTTTGTAAGTGGAGGAACGTATCAGTTTGTAGATAATAGAGGCCGGCAGGTCGTGGGCTGGTGGTGCGGCTGTGAGTCGGGTAATGAGAGGTGAACAGAGGTGAGGATAGGGCTGGCAGTGGCAGAGCTAGAGGCACTGCTCATTCCCATCCACCCGTCATTCAGGATCAAACACTCGTTAGAGCAATGCAATGCTCCTCTGCAAACCCATAAACTGTCCATCAGAGAACAGCCACTCAGCAGAGGACGTAAGTGACAACAGCAAGTGCACAGACGCAAAAACACAACCCCCAGAAACACAACAGACTGTGTTTTACCCCCGTGTGTGTGTGTGTGTGTGTGTGTGTGTGTGTGTTGAGATCATGCTTATGTTTTGGCAAGTCTGAAATGTGTCGATTTTCCTAAGATTTCAGAGATGTTCCATTTTTTTTATGGCAGGTTACATTATATTATATTATACAATTATATAGAATATATACATTTTGGCAAAAACAATCATTATTTTTGTTATGGCTAACAAGCAATATGATGGTAGATATTACTATAGATACTGTGTTGAGATCATGCTTATGTTTTGGCAAGTCTGAAATGTGTCGATTTTCCTAAGATTTCAGAGATGTTCCATTTTTTTTATGGCAGGTTACATTATATTATATTATACAATTATATAGAATATATACATTTTGGCAAAAACAATCATTATTTTTGTTATGGCTAACAAGCAATATGATGGTAGATATTACTATAGATACACACACATACATATATAGTAAATTACATTATTAGGGTTTTCAATATAATCACTTTTTTTAATTACGTTTAATCACCCTAACTATAAATCCAATTCCAGAAAAGTTGGGACGTTTTGTAAAATGCAATAAAATCAAAGATCTGTGGTTTGTTAACTGCCTTTAAACTTCATTTAATTGACAAAGGTACAATTAAAAGATTTTCAATGTTTTCACTGATCAACTTACATGTATTTTTTGTAAATATATATATATTTTTAATTCTTTTACATTTACATTTAGTCATTTAGCAGATGCTTTTATCCAAAGCAGCTTACAAATGAGGACAATAGAAGCAATCAAACTAACAAAAGGGCAATCATATATGACCCTGGAGCACAAAACCAGTCTTAAGTCACTGGGGTATATTTGTAGCAATAGCCAAAAATACATTGTATGGGTCAAAATTATAGATTTTTCTTTTATGCCAAAAATAATTAGGACATTAAGTAGAGATCTTGTTCCATGAAGATATTTAGTACATTTCCTACTGTAAATATATTAAAACTAAATTTTTGATTAGTAATATGCACTGCTAAGGACTTCATTTGGACAACTTTAAAGGTGATTTTCTCAATATTTAGATTTTTTTGCACCCTCAGATTCCAGATTTTCAAATAGTTGTATCTCGGCCAAATATTGTCCTATCCTAACAAACCATACATCAACGGAAAGCTTATTTATTCAGCTTTCAGATGATGTATACATTTATTTTTTAATAAAGAAATGTCTATATAGCTTTTATTAATTTTTATTGCAGTTTTAGTTTGATATTTTAGCATAAAGTTAAACTAAATGAAAATGAGAAATGGTGCTTTGGCAACTAGCTGAAATAAAATAGGTTTTCTTATTTTATTTCAGCAAACGTTTGTTATTTCAAGTAATGAAAATTATTTTTATGGTTTTAGTTAACTATAATAACCCTGTACATGAGTCACTAAAGAAGTATACTGTTATAATCACAGTTCCTACACTTAAAATAAATCCTGTCATACTGCTGAAATAAGTACATTTTATTTCCAATGATGGCCCCTTGACCAAAGGCAATGAGTAAATCATTATTTGTCAGTTTCAAATATTATATTATGATTTTTTAGAAAGGAGGAGCAGTTACCTCAGAGGAGGCGGAGCTAATGCTGGTGCCATCCGATAGGCCATTTCTACGGTACATGCTGGTGAATCAGCCAATGGGGTGCAGACGCCTGGGCAACAGTGGCCCTCAGCCAGACCCCACATATGACAAATCATCCATACCTGAAGACAGAGAGTGGCATCAAAATATTAAGATACATACTGTATAAAATATCATTAGCTTATAGGGAGACTGAGTCAGTGTCAACTGCAATGCATCATGGGAGTTGGTGTTACAGAAGTGGGTTCAATCCTTTGACAGGTGGTCTATGCATGTGTATGTTCGTAGAAAAAAATGATGCTAAATGTCTAAGGAACTCCACAGGGACTCGGTTTGCTCTTTCCCAGATGACCAGAGGAAGTCCCAGCATACCTGACTGACCGATGAAGCGCCATGCCGGGAAAGAGCGCAACAAATAGGAAAGAATGTGAGTTTTACAATGGAAATCCTCTCAGATCACTCACACAGTGATCAAAACACTTAATGGGTTTTGAGAAAGTTCTCCACGCTAAGCTGGAGACCTGTAACAGCCAATACATTAGCAATATGACCCTGCTTTTGGTCTGAGAATCAGGAAATTGCATTTACAATGACAGACATGTTGCTGTAAAAGAAAGCTTTTTAATCTCAGCTCCAACTGTGAGAGTTTTATCAAGTAGATCTCATATAACTCTATTTGAACTATAGAGATGTTGCTATGTTCTGACTTTTTGCATATAAACATTTGACAACACGACGTGCATCTACAAACAGCTATGAGTGTGAAGGATCACCAGCAGCGTCAACTGCATCCTTTCTGAAATAAACAAGTTTGATGCTCTGTGTAGACTTACTTAAGCTCTTAAACAGGCCAACCAGAGAATTTATAGCAACTGAACTGAAAAAAACAGCTAATAGAAATCATCATGCTTATGTGCTTATTAACATAAGACCACCCACATTTACATATCAGCATCTTCAGCCTGATGAACATGATTCATCACTCAAAGAATTCTACAGAAAATCTAGTTCACTGTGCTTGTTATGCTATTAAATTGCAAGAATCTTTGACTAATATTATAAAAATGAACCCCTACAAAAAGTCCAGATTATGGCCTCTTTAATGAACTGCATAAACGACTAGTCTAATTTGACCTGTTACTAAAGACAAAGAGCTCAGAGGAGCTGTGATGACCTCTAGTGGCCATATGAGTTTCTTATAAGCTTATGAAAGTTTCTCAATGTGAAATCCAAACTGTTTTTGGCTTATCATCAAAATACTGGTCTGACTGCACAGCATAACTTTTAAAATCCTTTATGGAGAGCCCAAAAACCACTGAAAAAATTGGGGACGGTAAGATTATTAAAGTCTCACCAAGGCTGCACTTATTTGATTAAAAATACTATAAAAACAGCAAAAATTTGAAATTTTATTTGGATTTAAAATAACTGTTTTCTATTAGAATATATTTTAATATGTAATTTATTTCTGTGATCAAAGCTGAATTTTCAGCATCATTACTCCAGTCTTCAGTGTCACATGATCCTTCAGAAATCATTCTAATATGCTGATTTGCTGCTCAAGAAACATTTCTGATTATTATTATCAATGTTGAAAACAGTTGTGCTGCATCATATTTTTGTGGAAACCATGATGCATTTTCTTCTCAGGATTCTTTGATGTCTTTACTTTTGACAAATGTAATGCGTCCTTGATGAATAAAAGTATTTATTTTTCAAAAAGCAAACAAACAAACACTTACTAACCCCATATTTTTGAATGGTAGTGTATTAATGCATGATAAAATCTGTTCACTGAACAGAATTATAAAACAAAATAAACATTTAATGATTTAAATATCATGCCTTAATTTCACCAACAAAAACATAATTTGTCTTGATAGTGATTGCGGTGATGTGCCGTTCATGTCGCATATAATTAATATACTAAACATAAACTACTAACAAAACACATAAAAATACAAACAATATGCTTGAACTGTTATAACTATTAAGAATTTTCGTCAGTCACTTTTGAAAACAAAATTGTTGTAACACTCATCCAAACCACAAGATGGCAGCTCACAACTACAAATGACTCTGTACTAGTTAGGCTACTTCATCAGAAGAGCTTTGTTTCAAACATCCATTTAATGTTTACATCACTTACATCACATCAATATTCAACTCATTTCCATATGAATTGAAAAAAGTTATTTATCTACTGTATATTTAAATAATACATACATGAATTTTGAGAGGTCATTCTGCATTCTTTTCTCATTTAAAATAAATATATTCATTACAAATCATAGGATCAGCAGCATAATTTGAGTGACAACTAATTTTTCATCATATTTGCAGGTTTAAATAATCTCAGCTTTTCAATGTGTGACCCTGGACAGCACACAATCAGGGTGAATCACAAAGTCTCCTCCATTCAGCTGAATTTGAGACGGCTCACATTTCTCTTTTCTCCTATTTGTAACCCGTTCAACACCACAACCCAAAACCCTCCATCTCTATCACACCAGAGCTGTCTGATTATACTCTGAAAGCGTTTCCTATAATATAAGCCACCGTAATCCCCCCTGAGTCAGTGATAATACTATCTCACACATCAGTATTACAGAGGATCACCAGCGCAGCAGTCGAGCTGTCTTTCAGTCTGACTGACATCACCCGTTTGAGACGCCATCTGGACCGAGAGCGGGTGTGAAAGCTATTAAGTGTTTCCAAGGAGACGCACATTAGTTGATCTCCCGCTTTCACTTAGTCCACTCCAATAGAGTGGGAGCCTCAATTTTTTTGTTTTGAACAATACAGGCTTGAAGAACGAACTTCACTTGTGGGGTTTAAATTGAGCATGAACACCTGCCTGATCCTTAAGTCAACATGTTCAGAAAATACAGCTAGTGCACTGTAGTATAGTATAATAGTGAATCAGTGATATAGTAGTAGGACTAGGACTAAGAGAAAGAGTAAGAGTAGGAGCAGTATAGTATAGTATATTGTAGTATAGTATAGTATGGTGTGGTGTAGTATAGTATAGTATAGTGAAGTATTATAGTATAGTATAATGTGGTGTATAGTATAGTATAGTATAGTATAGTATAATGTGTGGTGTATAGTATAGTATAGTATAGTATTGTATAGTATAGTATAGTGTGGTATAGTCTAGTCCAGTGTTTCCCAACCAGGGTGCCGTCTGTCGAGAGCAGGGGTGTCATGTAAAAAATCCTTTTTTAATATTTTTAACTAGTATAGTATAGTATAGTATAGCATAATGAGGTGTATAGTATAGTATAGTATAGTATAATGGGGTGTATAGTATAGTATAGCATAATGGGGTGTATAGTATAGTATAGCATAGTATAGTACAGTACAGTATAATGGGGTGTATAGTATAGTATAGTGTTATATAGTATAGTATAGTATAGTACAGTATAATGGGGTGTATAGTATAGTATAGTGTTATATAGTATAGTATAGTATAGTATAGTATAGGTGTGGTATAGTCTAGTCTAGTCTAGTATAGTATAGATTAGTATAGTGTGGTATATTATAGTATAGTCTCGGGATTGATTTGGGTTAAAACTAAGAGTACTTTTATTCAATATTTTTTTC